CAGGAATTTTTATGGATTTTTTTTAATTCTGAGGTTTCAGTTGGAATAATATATCATTCAAAGAATGTTTAATCTTAGTTTGCACAAGTCTATCATCTTTTCATGAGAATATGAGATATATTCAGAAAAAAAAGTTATTTTCTTACATATCCATCAAATATAGAATATTAACCAGGGTAATTCATTCTCTCTCTCTCTCTCTCTCTCTCTCTCTCTCTCTACCTTGGTTAAGCCACTGCTTTTATGAAATCATATATTTCTGGAATAAAAGCGTACAGTGAAATTCGAACTCAGACCCATTTGGTAAGGATATGAGCCTTCACCCATGAATTTATTCCTATTCACACTCCATAAATTTCCCATAGTGGAGTGGGGAGAAAGGGACTTGCCCACAGATACATTATATTGTAATCAGATCATTGTTTTTCATTTATAAACATAAAGACAAAGAGAACTAATGGCTTTGGTTTTACTGCTTTAATTACAGCATAAAATCTATGCATCAGTGAGCTCAAAATTAACACAACATAAAATCTATGCATCAGTGAGCTCCTAATCTTACAGGTTACTTTCCAGGTGTCACATACACACACAGAGACTAATTTTTAAGTGATTTAAATTCATAATGACATGCAAGACAACAATAGTGAGGCTCCCAGGAGATATCAGAATCCTCAAGACACACAGATGGAAAAAGAAAGAAGGAAAAATACAAAATACAATGAAATTCCCATTGTCTGGCCCCCAACAGAAAATAAATTCCTATTACCCATCTCCCAATAGCGACCACCAGACGGTCAAACCATAAAACCAGATTCACGGACTGTTGTCCCCAGCAGGGACGTAGGTGGCCCTCTACAAATAAGAGCAAGAACCAGAATCAGACTACGCCAAAACTCAGACTTAATCCAGAATCAAAAATAGCAACAGAGGCCCAACCGGCATGGCTCAGTGGTTGAGCACCAGGAGGTCACAGTTCAGTTCCCCGTCAGGGCACAGGCCCGGGTTGTGGGCTTGATCCACAGTGTGGGGTGTGCAGGAGGCAGCCAATCAATGATTCTCTCTCATCACTGATGTTTCTATATCTCTTTACCTCTCCCTTTCTCTCTCTGAAATCAACAAAATAAATATTTTAAAAAGCAACAGAGTAGAGTTGGGGAAGGAGGAGAGAGATGTCAGCAAGAGTAAAAGCTCTTGCCACACGAGATTCACCCTCAGAGTTGAAAAGGGGTCATGTCCACGTGTAAACAGCCCAGGGTGGGTTTCTCAGGCAACACAGTTTAGTTCGTTTGGGAAATAGGTGCCCCTGGACAACCTCAGGGAGACGTCCAACGGCCAAAAGGAACTGAGCCGAAAATCATGTATTAAATAAGAACTTCCAGAGAAGTTGCAAGGGAATCGGGCTGCAGAAAAAAAGTCTTAAAGCAATAAAAAATATAATGGGTGTTGAAAGAAACGATGACCAAGATTGCTAGTTTATAGTTAGTACCTGTTCTTGATGGGAAAAATAGCAATTTTCCCACAAGCTTATCATACCTAGGCAGGTCACATGTCCCAGACAGCAATCGTAGCAGAGCCGGAAATCCTAAACATGAAGAAATCAGAGCATCACGAACACAGCCCTGGGAGGGAACAGAGGTCTTTTCTTTGGGTTGGTTTTTGGATTTCGGGTTTGCTTTTATGTGCCGTTAAATGGTCTGTCGAAGATCCTAAAAGAAACAGAGGCCTCATTCTTCCGAAGGCTTACAATTCATCATCTAAGCTTTAAGGATCCTACTAAAATCTCATTTATCTTGGAGAAAATAAATTGTATTGCTGGGTTTAAAGTCTTTTTAAAAATATATTTTTATTGATTTCAGAGAGGAAGGGAGCGGGAGAGAGAGATAGAAACATCAATGATGAGAGAGAATCATTAATCATCTGCCTCCTGCACTCCCCGTACTGGGGATTGAGCCCACAACCTGGGCATGTGCCCCTGACCGGAACCGAACCTGGGACCCTTCAGTCCGCAGGCTGACACTCCATCCATTGAGCCAAACCAGCTAAGGCTGGGCTTAAATTCTTAACAAAATTATAATTGTATTTGTTAATGTTTGGTCTTAAGCATTAAGTGTGAATTTACCAAATGTTATGAAAACAAATTTATTAATTATGAATAAATTTGAATTCAATTTAAAATGTCTTTAAAAGTCAAGAATAGTCCTGGCTGGTGTGGGTCAGTTGGTTGGGCGTCCCATGCACCAAAAGGGGCTGGTTCAATCCCCAGTCAGGGCACATGCAAGAATCAACCAATGAATAAGTGAAATCACTTAATTGATCTAAAATCAATTTTGAAAAATAATCTCAGTCAGTATCAAGTCTGGTACCCCCACCCCTTTTTTGTCTTTGGTTAAGAGGAGTTTTCTTGCCCTGGCTGGTTTGGCTCAGTGGATAGAGCATTGACCTATGGACTGAAGGGTTCCTGGTTAGGTTCCGGTCAAGGGCACATGCCTGGGCTGTGGGCTCGATCGCCAGTGGGGGGAGTGCAGGAGGCAGCCGATCAATGATTCCCTCATCATTGATGTTTTTCTCTCTCTCTCCCTCTCCCTTCCTCTCTGAAATCAATAAAAATATATTAAAAAAAGAAGAAGAGTTTTCTTTAAAGAAAACCTGTCTAACGCCCAATTTAACTAAGTTGAATTAAAACAAAGCTGCTTGGACTGGGATCCTGCTCACTCCTCGAGACCCGCTTCATAGCTCCATTCCAGGAACTGTGTCGAACACAATTTGGAACCACTGGACTGATCCAGCCCCTTCAGTCTAAAATGGGGAAACCATTTAGGGCCCGAGAGGGAAACTGACTTGGCTAAGATTACACAGCCAGACCCTGGCCAGGGAGCTCAGTTGCTTACTAAGCGGTTCTCAATCTGTGGGTCGCGAACAATGAAAATACATCCTGCATATCAGATATTTCATTACGATTCATAACAGTAGTAAAATTACAGTTATGAAGTAGCAACGAAAATAATTTCATGGTTGGGGGTCACCACAACATAAGGTACTGTATTAAAGGGTCGCGGCGTTAGGAAGGTTGAGAACCACTACAAGGTTGTGGGTTCGATCCCAGGTCAGAGCACATATAAGAACCAAACAATGAATACATAAATGGAACAAATTTCTCTCCCTCTCCCTCCCTCTCTCTCTCTCTCTCTCCTTCATCTTTCTAAAATTAATCAATAAATTTTTAAAAAGTTAGAAAGATTACACAGCCAGTAGATGGCAGAGCTGAGACTGTAACTGGAACCTAGGTTCAGCTGCCTGCTGCCCTGAAAACCCAAACTCTTTTTAAAAATATATATATTTTATTGATTTTTTACAGAGAGGAAGAGAGAGGGATAGAGAGTTAGAAACATCGATCAGCTGCCTCCTGCACACCCCAAATGGGGGTGTACCCACAACCAAGGTACATGCCCTTGACCAGAATTGAACCTGGGACCCTTGAGTCCACAGGCTGACACTCTATCCACTGAGCCAAACCAGTCAGGGTCAAAAACCCAAACTCTTGAGGAAAGAAGCTAACGCAAGTGCCGGACACCTGAGAAGACGGGGACTGTGGTGGCAAAGCCCACCTCCCCTCCTCAGAGCAGGCAGAGGGTTTACAGGAGGGAGAGGGAGAGCGGCACCAGGTCACGGGGAGGAGCTCGACAGCTTCTCCACGTGCAGGCCCGCACAGTCTGCTCCATCAGGACCTTGAACCTGGCCAAGTGAGGGCCCGGTGCGCGTCACCCTGGTCTTCCTCACCGGTTCTGTGTCACAAGGTCAGCACATCGCCCAGAACTGGGGTGGCTGAGGGTCGGCGTCTGATCTTCTGAAGTTAGTTCCTAGGATTCGAATACAAACATGCTGTTCATCTACAAACTGCACGTGAGTCAGGGTCGGCATTCACCGAGACAGTGTCTGTTACAAGAACGTGGACTTGCCAGTTCCTGGCCCTGTGCCATCCTGACACAGGGTCTTAGGGTCTCGCTCTCTCCGCCCGTCTCTTTCCACAGTATGTGAGGGCCAGGAGCCCCAGGGCCGCGCTGCCCCCTCTCTACGCCCTGGAGCTGCTGACCATCTACGCCTGGGAAATGGGCACGCAGGAGAATGAGAGCTTCAGGTTGGACGAAGGCCTCACCACTGTGATGGAACTCCTCCAGGACTATGAGTCCCTTTGTATCTACTGGACCAAGTACTACACATTCCAGAACCCGATCATTGAGGACGTTGTCAGAAAACAGCTCCAACGAGAGAGGTACTGCTTCTAAACACATGTCCGAGAGGGAAGCAAGAGAACCGAGGGAGGGTGCTAGTGGGGGTCTCTTTTGGGGAGGGGGCTGTATTAAGTAGCAAGGCTGCAATGAAACCTTGAACTGGCCGTGGCCACCTTCCAAAATCGCCAGGGGCCTTAGCAGCTACACGCCTTTTCCTTGGCCCTCAAGCCACCGCTCCCTCCTACCTTAGCCACTTGCCCTCAGAAGAGCATGTCAGTGTATTTATTTTTTTAAAAAAAATTTTTATTGATTTTTTTACAGAGAGGAAGGGAGAGGGATAGAGAGTTAGAAACATCGATGAGAGAGAAACACCGATCAGCTGCCTCCTGCACACCTCCTACTGGGGATGTGTCCGCAACCAAGGTACATGCCCTTGACCAGAATCGAACCTGGGACCCTTCAGTCCACAGGCCGACGCTCTATCCACTGAGCCAAACCGGTCTGGGCATGTCAGTGTTTTTTAAAGAGAGCGTGAGGAAGTGGAAAGAATCATGGAGACCCGAGTTTACTCCCAGCTCTGCCTCAGTTCCTTCTCTGTAAAACAGGAGCCACCGGCACCACCAACGCGGGACTGTTGTGAGGGTCAGAGAGAATATCTGTGAAGGCCTCTGTGGTCGATGCCAGTTAAAGGGTCACTATGGTGGCACATGCTGCTGGGGCCTACCCGCAGCCCTTGGGCTTTTACTATTTCCACGAAAGCTGGGTCAGCCCTCAACGGCAGCACCTGCGTCCTTTTGCCTGGTGGCAGTTGGTGGCTGAATACCCCAGCTCCCTCCCCTCTCAGATGGAAGGACTAGCTCTGGGCCACGCCTGCTACACTGCTAATCCCAGCGTCCCTCCCGGGGGACTAACTTCCAGCCGCCACTACAGCAATCACCCCGATGCTCACCCTGACGGGCACCCTTCCTGTCCTCCTCACTCCCCACGCCCTCACTGGTGATCCTGGATCTCCTGGTTCATAGGTCGACACTAAACCACTGAGCCACGCCCGCCTGGCAAAATTTTTTAGAAACATCTAGAGGATTCTCCCCAAGAGGAATTGTTGGAAATCTAATGGTCTCTATCCTGTGACTCTCCAGCAATGTCTCTGAGCCCTCGTGGACCGGGGCTGGGGCTGTGGATGCACAGAGGCTCAGGCCTTGAGGAGGTGATGCCTGAGAAGCTGCTTTCTGGCCAGAAAGAGCCTGGGACCCTCTCCCTGTGTTGCAGGCCCATCATCCTGGACCCGGCTGACCCCACGTACAACGTGGCGGAAGGGTGCCGATGGGACATAGTGGCTCAGAGGGCCTGCCAGTGCCTGAAGCAGGACTGTTGCTATGACAGCAAGGACAACCCGGTCTCCAGCTGGAACGTGAAGGTAAGGCTCCCCTCTGGGCTGCTGCCGGGGGCTCGGAGCCCAGAATGAGATACATGCATAGCGTTTACCTACTTATTTCTGTGTCAGTGGAGCCACCAGGGCATTGGAGTCAGACAGTTTGATGCCTGGCTGACGACCTACCAGCTCTGTGAACTTGGGGAAATTATTCAGCTCGCCGAGCCTCAGATTTCTTACCTTCAGATCCTTGTTCTCTTTCCTTCCTTCTTCCCAGACCTTCCTGGGAATCAGCTCTGTGCTCCCAATCATTCCTCGCACGAGCTGAGCCCAGGCAGGTCCAATCAGCCAGCTGTTTTGTGCCAACACTGGGCTTGGGGCAAGTGTGGGGGGTGGGGGCAACAATCTCTGAAACAAACTTGTACAAACTGCTGAAGGACACCTGAACTTTGAGTTGTCTTAAAACGGATTGGAGCCTGGCCGGTGTGGCTCAGTGGTTGAGGTACAGGAGGCAGCTGATCAATGATTCTCTCTCACCATTTATGTTTCTATCTCTCTCCCCTTCTCCCTTCCTCTCTAAAATCAATAAAAATATATTTTACATAAATAAATAAGTAAATAAATAAAATGGATTGGAGAACTAGTTCTCTCATGTTCTTGAACTAGGCCTTCTCGAGCAATAAACCTTTCCTTGCTCCAAATTCTGGGCGGGGGGGGGGAGCGGGGGGGGTTGCTAGAAAGAATTACCAGAGAAGATACTCAGAAAACAAACAAAAATGCTAAATAACAGATAATATTACGTGATGCCAAACATACAGTACAGGCAAAGGCCCTCTCGCAACCCGGGACCCCTCGGGGGATCTCGGACTGCTGATTCCGGCCCCATCCCCATAGGCCAGGCTGAGGGACCCCACCAGTGCACGAATCAGTGCACTGGGCCTCTAGTATGTATATAAGATATATGGTTAATCTCTTCCCGCCCGCCCCTTCCCCTTCCCCTTCTCTCTGATATTCATCAATCTGTTCCATGCTTCCATGCCTGTGTGTTGAGCATCTGTCCCCTGGGGGTCAGTGAGCATCATAGCTATGGGTTGAATGGTCGCTTAGGCATATATATATTAGAGGCCTGGTGCACAAAATTTGTGCATGGGTCGGGGGGAAGTCCCTCAGCCCTGCCTGCTCCCTCTCACAATCTGGGAGCCCAGCTGACAGCTTAGGCCCACTCCCCGTGGGGCAGTCAGACATCCTTAGCACTGCCTTGGGGATGGTAGAAGCTTCCACTACCGCCGCTGCACTCACCAGCCATGAGCTTGGCTCAGGGCTTCTGGCTGAGCTGCGCTCCCTCTGTGGGAGCCCACTGACCACCAGGGGGAAGCTCCTGCATTGAGCATCTGCCCCCTGGTGGTCAGTGCACGTCATAACGACTGGTTGTTCCACTGTTTGGTCAATTTGCATATTAGCCTTTTATTATATAGGATATAGTGTCAGTAGTAGTTATTGTAGTGCATTTTACTAATAATACAGTAATATTACACTGGGGGCCCAGTGCACAAATTCGTGCACCTTGAAAGGAACTGTGGGCTGCGAGGCTGCGGTGGGCACAGGGGCAGGTATCAGCCCATCCTCTGTGCCCCTGCCTGGCCCCTCCCACCACGGCCCCCAGTCCCCTGTCTACCAGCAGCCCTGCGCGTGCCCCCCTGGTAGTCAGCACACATCATAGTGACTGGTTGTTCGGGTGTTCCACCATTCGGGTGTTCCACCGTTCGGTCTATTTGCATATTAGCCTTTTATTATATAGGATATATATTTTTTATTGATTTCAGAGAGGAAGGAAGAGGGAGAGAGAGATAGAAACATAAATGATGAGAGAGAATCATTGATTGGCTGCCTCCTGCACGCCCCTACTGGGGATCGAGCCCGAAACCCGGGCACATGCCCTGACTGGCAATTGAACCCTGACCTGGTTCATGGGTCAATGCTCAACCACTGAGCCACACTGACTGGGCCACTTCACCTTTCTTGGCCACAATTTCCTTATCTGTAAAATGGGATAATAGGAGAACCAACCCTCCTGGGGCTGCTGTGAGAATAAAATGCATTAAGAAGAGAATAAAAGGCACCCAGCATGGGACCTGGAAGGTGGCTGGCACGCCCTGAATGTTTGCTGTTGCTGCAGTTGGAAAGATAAGGACAGGGAAGGGGAACGTTGGCATGTCAGACAGAGGAATGTGGTGACTCAACCCCTCGCGTCTCTCTTGCAGAGGGCACGAGACATCCAGGTGACTGTGGAGCAGTGGGGCTGCCCAGATTGGACCCTCATGGTGAACCCTTATACCTCCATAAGGAAGGTCAAGGAGAAGATCCAGCGGAGACAGTGCTGCGAGGGCCTGCAGCGTCTGTCCTTCCAGACTCCAAGCGGCGAGCGGAAGCTCCTCCGCAGCCGCAGCTCCCTGGCCGAGTTCGGGATATTCTCCGACACGCGCATCTGCCTGCTGGAGACCATCCCCCCGGAGATCCAGGTCTTTGTGAGGAACCCGGAGGGTGGGAGCCACGCCTATGCCGTCGACCCCAACAGCTTCGTGCTGGGCCTGAAGCAGCAGATAGAAGACAAGCAGGGGCTGCTCAGGAAGCAGCAGGAGCTGCAGTTCGTAGGCCGGGTCCTGCAGGACTGGTCGGTTTTGGGGAGCTATGGTATCAAGGACAGCGACACCCTCATCCTCTCCAAGAAGAAGGACACACATTTCCCATTTCTGCCCAGCTAGTTTCCTCTGGGGAGCCTCTCTGGGCGGTCCTGCATCTAATCCAGGACCCACCCTGTCAATCACTCCTTCAGCCGCTGCTGAGGGGCCCAGGTCTCCTCCGGCCTTGTAAAGAGTTACCCCAGCCCTCCCTGCTGGGGAACGGGGAGGGTGTGAGCGATTACATATACTGTGAGCATAAAATCATTCAAACCTGTAAAGAATTTTTGTGAGTTTATTTGAGCCAAACTGTCGACAATTGCTGGGAAGCAGAACCTCAAGGAATTGAGATCATGCTCCGGAGAATGGCGGGTTACATCTGTGTTTATACATTGCAATCAAAGGAAGGGACCTGGGGGGGTACATGAAATCCATTGGTGATAGATTAGAGAGGCGGGGGAAAGCAGAACGGGGAAACCCCTGGGATTGGATAAAAAGTAAAATGATGGACACATACTTAGATGGGTGCGGGAACAATGAACATAAGGATGAAGGAATTTGTGGTCTCTGTCCTGGCGCCCAGGCACATTACGTTGTGCCCCGAGGGTTCCAGAAAAAGGGAAGTTACCAGTTACCCAGATATTTCAAGGGTATATTGTTCTAGATGCAAAAAGACAGGCTCAGTTAAGGTAAAGGTTGACCCCGTCAGTGAAGATACTGGCCTAGGATGTAACTACCCACCATCACTGCTTTTAGTTAAAGTTTAATTTCAGACCATCCTTTGTGGTTCCTTTAGGTCTCTGAGTTTGCAAGACCACCATGCAGGCCTTCCCTGAGCTTGTCAGGTTCGCATGTGGCCCCTTTCGTCCACAATACAAATGAACAGACCACATATGACAATAGAATTCTGACCCACAATCTCTGCAGCCACCACTTGGGAAGCCAAACCACAACCTGTGCAGCAATCAACACAAAATTGCCAGGACTTGGTCAATAGCTGCCAGTTTCCTTACCCGCCCTCCCCTTCCCGCTGTCTTCCAACTCAGGACCAAGCAGAGGGAACCAAATAACCTCGCTGACAACCACGTGGGATGATTTCCTGCTTCTGGAGAGCCCGCCTCCAGCCACCCCAGGCCCCCACCTCAGGCAGGGCACACCGGAGGCCTTCTCCCTTTTCCACTATGAAACGTTCCCATCGCCTGTCTTGAGTCTGCCAAATGCAGGGATGTTGGGTGACTCCCTCGCTACAGCAAGTTGGGAATAAATAACCTTTGTTGATTCTCTTTTGGATGGTCTTCATTTCTGTCCACTGGTGCTAATGCTGTCCTAGTGGTTATTGCTTAATCCTTTGAGCCTCAGAGTGGTCATCAACATTGTCTACAACCTGCCAGGGGCTGGGGCCATACTCTGCGATGTGGTACTTCTCGCCATACTCACTTTCAATAGAATATAAAATGCATCTTATGATTGGTTCTCAAAGCCTCTGGGAAATTTATCCATAGTAACCTGCCTAATTCCCACCTCTTTTTGCCTTCAGGGGCAGAAAGAATGCTTCCTTTCCCTGGGGTAGAGAGGCTAGACCAGTGATGGCGAGCCCATGACACGTGTGTCAGAGGTGACACATGCTCTGACACGTGAACTCATTTTTTTGGTTGATTTTTCTTCGCTAAATGGCATTTAAATATATAAAATAAATATCAAAAATATAAGTCTTTGTTTTACTATGGTTGCAAATATCAAAAAATTTCTATATGTGACACGGCACCAGAGTTAAGTTAGGGTTTTTCAAAATGCTGACACGCCGAGCTCAAAAGGTTCACCATCACTGGGCTAGACCCTGCCCTTCCCCATCTTTGTATCCTTCACATTGTAGGTAATGGACATATTCCTGTGTGTGTGTGTGTGTGTGTGTGTGTGTGTGTGTTTAAAAGAATAAGTCACCTTCCTCTCTTTCATAATAGAAAAGCCCAAGGCCAGAAAGTTTATTTTAATAAAAATTTTAGCACACTCAGTTTCAAAGATAAAACATGATGAAAAGCATTCCAAAGACAAAACTGACTTTGTTCATCCTTCATAGTGGAGCATTCTATGTAACCACAGAGATTCTAATGTGTTGGTCTTGGGTGGGTCCTACGAGTCAGTATTTAAAAGTTTCCGATGTGGCCCTGGCTGGTTTGGCTCAGTGGATAGGGTATCAGCCTGAGGACTAAAGGGTCCTGGGTTTGATTCTGGTCAAGGGCACATGCCCCGGTTGTGGGCTCAATTGGCAGGAGGCAGCCGATCAATGATTCTCTCTCATCATTGATGTTTCTATGTCTCTCTCCCCGTCCCTTTCTCTCCAAAATCAATAAAAATATATCTAAAAGTAAATAAATAGAAGTTTCCAGTGTGTGAAACTTTGGAGAAGCCCTGAGCTAGAAAACTGCCATTGTGTGTTCTACCAAACTTTACTGTGTGTTCCAGTCACCTGGAGAACCTATTTAACTGCAGGTTGTGATTTAGAAGGTCTAAGCTGAACTAAGACTCTGCATTTCTAACAAACTCCTGCGTGTGGCAGATGCTGCTGGCTCACAGAGTATATTCTGAGTAGAAGCAAGGCCTAGCCTATCAGAGAAAATAGATTGAATCCTACTTCTCAAGAGATTCTGATTAGGTTAGTTTTTGGTTAGACCCAACAATCTGCATTTAAAATATATATTTTTTTTATTGATTTCAGAGAGAAAGGGAGAAGGAGAGAGAGAGATGGAAACATCAAGGATGAGAGAGAAACATTGATCAGCTGCCTCCTACAGGCCTCACACAGGGGATGGAGCCTGCAACCCGGGCATGTGCCCCAACCGGGAATCGAACCATGACCTCCTGGTTCATAGTTTGATGCTCAACCATTGAGCCACGCCGGCCGGGCTGCATTTTAACATGTTTTCTAAGTTGTTTCTGATTCTCAGGTGGATTTCAGAATTCCTGGAATAAATGAATAAAAATGAAACTAAATTGAAAGAAAACCTGGGGATTAACCCTGGTTTTGTCATTAACCCCTGTATGACCTTAGGCAATTTCCCCCCTCTGTCTGTCTCACTTTCCTCATCAATTAAAGGATGGAGCAGTTGATTTCTTTGACACTTCTAAACTCCTACAAATCAAGGCCATCGGCGGCCTGCGTCTGAGAACTACAATCCCCACAATGCCCCGCACGTCGCCGCTCTCACGTGGGGTCGTGGAGCGGTAACCGTATTGGAGGCGCTCCCACAACCCTTTGCGGTGGTTCAAGATGACGGCGCCCAGAGGGTCCATGAGCGATGCGGAGAGCAGCAGCGGCGGCAGCGATGCCGAGGAGCTGGCGCGGTGCCGCGAGGCGGCGGTGCCGGCCTGGGGCGTGGGGCAGCGCCCGAGAGGCCCGGAGAAGAGAAGAGCCGGTAGGGGCTGGGCTCGAGCCGTCTGGCGGGAGGGCGTAGGCTCTTCCCCGGGGCCGAGAGGGGGGCTGGTGGGAAGGAGACTTCGGGACTCGACTTCTTCCGAGAGCTCCAGGCACTGGTTGTGGGTTGTTTCATGGTCCCATTCGGGGAAACTGAGGCACCCGAATGCCTCTGGACTCAGCTTCGTTGATTGACTGCCGACCCGAAATGACTGCGGCAGCCGCTTTCTGGACTCGCACCCACCCTTCCTCCGCCTGCAGCGCATTTCCACGACCTGGGGCTGCCGGGGAGCGTGTCCAACACACAGCTCTCTCTGACCGCGAGGCCCCGGTGTCGCGGGAAAAGTCCAAAGCTCACCTTGGGGCCACCTGATCACAATCCACAGGTGCATGATTTGGGATGGGGAAGGCATTTCGTCTTTACTTTCATTAACCTCTGAAATTTAGCATCCCTTCCCATTTTCCTGTGAGCAACAGCCACAGTAGCTTTGACAATACCTGTTACTTTGTCCTGTCGAAAGTCACAGATTTTCATATCCCATTACAATCTTTGCAGATAAATGTTGGAAAAAAAGAACTTACATTCATTCCTACTTTAAAGTTACAATAATTTTTAGACCCTAGAGCTAAAGAATCTCTAGCCCAGGTGGCGGGGCTCAGTGGTTGATCTTCGTTCCACCTATGAACCAGGAGGTCACAGTTCGATTCCCGGTCAGGGCACATGGGGGGTTGCGGACTGATCCCCAGTAGGGGGCGTGCTGGAGGCAGCCCATCAGTGATTCTTATTATTGATGTTTCTATCTGTCCCTTCCCTCTCTGAAATCAAATATATATATATTTTTAAAAGAATCTCTCGATCTTATTTAATGCATTAAAAAGGACACACACATAATAGTATGCTGGGTTTGGTTTTTTACTGTTATGGTAACTGAATTTCAACATAATTGTGTGTTTTTTGTAATCCTGTGTATGTGTGTGTGTGTGTGTGTTAATATATTTTTATTGATTTCAGAGAGGAAGGGAGAAGGAAGAGACAGTTAGAAACATCAGTGATGAGAGAGAATCATTGATCAGCTGCCTTCTGCACACCCCCTATTAGGACTGTAGCCAGCAACCTGGGCATGTGCCCTTGACCGGAATTGGACCTGGGACCCTTCAGTTCTCAGGCCGAGGCTCTATCCACTGAGCCAAACCTGCTAGGGCCTATGTGTTTAATTTTATTCATTTAAAACATTCTGAGAAGGGATCCACGCTATACAGACTGCCAGAGCAGGCCACGGTAAAGCATGGTTTAAAACCTACTTTTGCCCGGCTGGCATGGCTCAGTGGTTAAACGTTGACCTATACTGGTAAACCAGGAGGTCACGGTTCGATTCCTGGTCAGGGCACATACCGAGGTTTTGGGCTTGATCCCCAGTGTGGGGTGTGCAGGAAGCAGCCGATCAGGGATTCTCTTTCATCATTGATGTTTCTATCTCTCCCTCTCCCTTCCTCTCTGAAGTCAATAAAAATACATTCTAAAATTAAGTAAATAAAACCCCTGCTTGTGCCTTGGCTGGTTTGGCTCTGTGGATAGAGGGTCAGCCGGCAGACCTCGGGTTCAATTCCAGTCAAGGGCACATGCCTCTGCCTCCACCAATTGACATGTTTTTCTCTGCTTCTCTCCCTCCCTTCCATTCTCTCTAAAAATTAATGGAAAAATATCCTCAGGTGAGGAGTAAAAATAAATAAAACAAAAATAAAACCCCTGCTTTTGTTTAAAAAGACTTACAAGCCCTTTTGTAATCCATTCCCTGCCTGCTTCTCCTTTCTTGCTGTCCTGCCACACTGCACTTCCCATAGGTAGGCTACTCCCTCCCTCCCCCCGAC